CTGCCGATGCCGATGCCGAGCTCGCGCTCCGCGGGCTTGGAGTGGCTCGTCAAGGCGCAGATGAACTGGCGCTCCTCGCGCTGGACGCGCGCCTCCCACTGGCGCAGCGCCTGCGCGCACCGGTAGCCGTTCATGACCGGCATCTCGATGTCCAGAAACACAAAGTCGTAGAGCCGCGTCTGCATCTGCGCGAAGGCCTGCCAGCCGTTCTGGGCGACGTCGACGGCGTAGCCCCGCTGCTCGAAGGTGCGCTGCATGAAGCGGCGCACCGTGTAGGAGTCGTCCGCGATGAGCATGCGCGGCGCGGTGCCGTACTGCGCCGCGAGCCGCGCGTCGATGGCGCTCGGTAATAGGTTCCGGTGGCGCGTCAGGGGCGCGAGGGGCACGTGCACGGCGAAGCCGTCGGCCAGCGCGAGCTCGCTGTGCTCCGACCCGTTGCTCGACTCGGGGCTCTCGCTCCGCAGCCGCTTCGACAGGCTGAGCTCGTTCTCCGCGTTGTCAGAGTTGGACACGGAAGAGTCCGGCGACGCCCCGCCGGGGCTCGTCCGCGCCTTGCGCTTCCGCGAGTCGTCGCCCGCCGGCGGGGGGGCGGCGCCGAAGCCCGGCGCGCTCCCGGACGGGTTCAGGTGCTCGACGATGCGCTCGTAGGCCGGGGCGAGGTTCGCCGACGGCGGGGGCGGCGCGGCGGCGGTCTCCGCGTCGGCCATGGGCTCTCGGGGCGGCGCCGGGGCGGGTGTCGCGGGTCACGGGAGGGCGAACGACGCCGCCTTCACCGGGGTCGGCGCGAAGTGGCGCCTCAGATTGCCTCAAGTTTCAGCAGCGGCAACTAAAAAAATATGAGGCGCAAGCATCGCAAGCCGACCTTGACTGAGATTTCGTCTTTGCCCAAGGGGATATAAATCTAGATGGGGTGGCAGGCAAAACGCGAGGTCCTCCGACTGCCCGGGGCCGCCACCAGCGTTTTCTTTCTTCTTCCACGCCGCAGCGCGCGGGCTGAGTGCAACGATGGCGGGTCACGCGGCGCGGCGCGGCTGCGGAACCCTTCGACGGGGCGGGGCAGCGAGTTTGGGCTGCTGAGATCATCGCGTTGGCTCGCGAGCGCGACGGTTGTTCGGCGGCGGGACGAGAGGGCGGCGGTGTGAGCCGAGTGTGCGATATTTTCTTGTCCTTAGAGGTTGGAGGCGCCCTATGGGTACCCCCGAAGGGCTCCAGGGCCTCATGACCCACCAATTTTACGATCCCAGAGCCTGCACAGCCCCGGCGCCGACGGTGTCGCGACGCAGTTTCTCGGGCAGCGTGCAGTCGTTCGAGGTCGAGAAATTTTCTTGTCCTGAGATGCTCGAGCCCATCCATAGGTACCAACGAAGGGCTCTGCCGCGCCAGC